AAGGTAAGACTTATAGCGGCATTTTTGGATACAAACGCCGCGAAAGGAAAGATCTATAGCTGCGTTTTTGGAACAAACGCCTCAAAAAGTCAATATCTATAGCGGCGTTTTGGAACAAATGCCACAAAAGGTCAATATCTATAGCGGCGTTTGTATCCACAAACGCCACTAATTACCTTTATTTAGCTAAGATTAATTGATTTTGCATATTTCATTTATGCTTTACATCACCTAAATTTAATATCAGGTAGCTTTATCTAATTAACAACAACCATACATTTTAATTAAGACAGAAGTTATGCAGAAAAAAAATACTTAAGAACAAAATAAATTAAATTTTATAAACATTAAAATTAAATGTAATGTAGTTTGACACTGTTCTCTAGAATTTAGTCTAAGTTCTTTCACTTTCAATTAAAAAAAATATTGTTCACTAGAATTTAGTCTTCATTGCTCCTTCGTATGTCTTGCATTTTCCAATCAATCTTTACAATGTGAGCATCATAGTAAACTGATTGGTCTCTCCTCTCCTAAATTCCAGAAAGAAACACAAATTAACATAGAGATGGAAAATTATTGAGAGATTTAAGAACAATGAGTGTATCTATTAATCACCTGCAAATAGTTTTGAAATCTACCACCTAGAAAGTGATGAGGCCCGGAAAATTTCTTTGCAAATAGTTTTGGAGCAGTCAAAGAAACCTTTCACATTAGAAAATTGCATTATTTTGATATTTGATATAAAGGGGTGCCTATGTGTGAGTTTAAACAACAATAAGTTTTTGAAGAATCAAAGGCAGAAAAAAAATATAACAACATGTCAGGTTTAATCCCTTCACCACCAACGTCATCCTCTTCAACATGTCATCTGAATGGAATATCTACAGACACAATAACAGGGGATTTTTGTTGCACTCGTTGATAACTATGTAAATTAACCAACTTCTGGATCAGTTCGTCGAAAGGTGGCCTTGGTGCTCCTGAAAGATTAAAAATGACGAATAAGAGTTCAATAACATTAAATTTACAACCAGAAACCTGGTATCATACATAATGGAGTGTGAATAAGAGGCTAGGATTTTTTTTATTTTTACTTCTCAACCGCTTCTTGAGGATTTTCAACGCATCCTTAGCCTGTCTACATTAGAAAAATGAAGAATGACAATCAAATAAGCTATGACCCACTATGCATCGTAGAGTGTGAATAAGAGGATATGAAGTTATAACAAAGCAAGCAATGAATTAAATCCAATCATGGGAATGCATAACCATGCAACTTTCATAACATATGGTGCTTCTGGTCTATTAGAACCTTGGAAAACAAATTCATACTTCAGACAATTAAATAGATGAAACTAATGTACACCTTGTATTCCATATCATCAGACCATATCTTTATTCTATTTCAAACATTTTTCACCCATATTTAGACTTCAAATCCTTCAATTCTTTAATAGTAAAATGGATAAGTACAACCCCAAGAAATTACCCAGTTATATATATATACCAAACAATATACTTCTAAGAAAATTCAGAATAGTCGGGCTGTAGCATCTTGAATTATTGAGTCAAGTGTACACTCTAAATGAGTGTCTGTCAAAATGATCCACTCCTCACTCATGGTAAATAAATCTTGCATACTTGAAATATACAATTTTCCCCTTCGACCATCTTTCCCTTTAAAACTCTTGGAAAAATCAAGTCATGACCATTTGCCTCTAGTTATAGAGCCAAGCTACATTTTCACCAAATTTGGAAAGCCTAATTCTTATCTACATCAGTAGCGGAGTAAATCATGTTACCAAGTAAACTCCACCGGAACTCCACCTCTTTCCTTACTGAAGAACACCTGGATCACGGAGAAGTGTCCCATCTAAAGATATATTATACAATTCAAAGATGGATGGGGTCACAAATTTTGCCTAAAACAATTTAAATAGAGATTCGACAAACAAGGCTTACAAGTTTGAGAATACTTAAAGTACCCACATTGCAGAATTCATTGGTACCATAGGTATAAATATTTGTGTTTCCGAGTAAATCAAACAACAATTCAAAAATAACAATAATAGGTTGCATTAGAGAACAGAAATTAGAAAAGTATAGCAAAAAGGTTAACAAACACAAATATAAAGAATGATATTAACTGGATCCATGTTTATAATGTTGCATAGCTCAATGTTCATAGCCCCATCTGGACCGATCAACATATGGTTGCCCTCTCACCACATGTTGCGGCGCTATGAGCCATGTTATCAGTCTCTCTTATAAGGTTATAAATCCTTGTTTATTGTATGAAACCATCCTACAGAAAAATCAATCATAAAACTTGAAATATCATGAATTTGATGGGAAAAAGAATTATGAGTCTAACTAAAATAATACAAGATCAAAGACATTAACAGGTAAACGTTCATCAAATCAGCTCTAGAGCATGTCATCAATAATCCCAATTTCGCAACTAAAATAAACTATAGTAACTCCGCTTAAGAATGCTAATAATAATAAATTATAGGGTACCAATAAGTCAATCCCCAAAATTACCCATGTATCCTTAAACGCCGCACTCATGGAGGAAAAAAATAAAAACCAAGGACGGTAATCAAGAACCCAGAAAGAATATCAATGAGATTGATAGTAACAGCTTATACCCAAAGTGATACAAATGATGAATAGCAACCAGACCATCACCTCCATTGTTTCCCGGACCGTAAATAGCAAGAACACGATTATATTCACTTGGTTTATAAACCTACAACAAGAAAAAGTTCTTTTTGAAATTGCACACTAGAAAAAAAGGTATAAACTTACACTGGAAAAAAATTGTGGTGAGTCTCATCAACCTCAGCATTTTCTCGTTGCGTGAGGTACAAAATAAAACCCAGATTTTGAACCGAAGAAGCCATTGATCCCGCTTCACCGGACTTCGAACAAAACACTCGAATTACTGAGATCGAAATGGGAGCCAAAAAACTCTATAAATTATGAAAAACGGAGAAGAGTAGACTGACCGATACAGGAAAACCCGATGGAAGGTTAGGGTTTCGCAGAGCGAGAAATGAGGAACTTTGAACCTGAGCAAAATAGAGACAACAAAGGAGGGAATTTATCACGTGCATTGCACGCGAAGCATTAAAAAAACTTGTTTGTAAACTTGCGGCGTTTGTGTTTACAAACGCCACTAAAGTACAAGTCTTTAGTGGCGTTTGTATAAAAACGCCACTGAAGTACGAGTCTTTAGCGACGTTTGTATAAAAACGCCACTGAAGTATGACTTTATAGCGGCATTTATATAAAAACGCCATTGAATTACGAGTCCTTAGCAGCGTTTGTAAACAAAAACGCCACTAAAATACGAGTCATTAGCGGCGTTTGTATAAAAACGCCACTAAATAACTAGATTTTAGCAGCGTTTGTTCAAAAATGCCACTAATGAACTCATTTTTAGCGGCGTTTGTACAAAAAATGCCACTAAAGTACGAGTCTTTAGCGGCGTTTGTATAAAACCCCCACTATATTACAATCTTTAGCGGCGTTTATATAAAAACACCACTAAAATATGAGTATTTAGCGGCGTTTAAAAAAAACGCCACTATAGCACATGTTTTTGCTGCTGTGAGGGTGGAGCATATATTTATCCTTTGGCGGTGTTTTTAAAAAACGCCACTATAGCACATGTTTTTGTGGCATTTTTATAACAAACGCCACTATTGATGAACCCTATTATGGAATTTGTCTAAAAACACCGCTAAAGTACTCTTTATCGCGACATTTGTTGGAAAAACGCCTCTACAAATAAACCCTATTATGGCATTTGTGCTAAAAACACCGCTAAATTACTATTCTATCACGGTATTTGTTAAAGAAACGTCTCTAAAGTTTTATTTTGTGGCATTTGGATTGTAAACGCGGCTATATGTTTAAATTTTGTGGCATTTACTCTCCAAACGCCGCTACAGAACAGTTTTGCTGTAGTGATTTATCCTATGGGTAAATTCTAAAGTCTAATAACCTTACAAACATATCAAAGCATACATATATACATTCATTTTTTTTATTAAAACAATCTAAAACTAATCTAATTAATTACCATGCAACAGAAACCATATTAATTCAAACTAGTATTTAAAAAATTAAACAACTAAGGTACTATATTGAATATTTAATAAATTAATTAGGGATTAAAATCAAATTAACCATGCGAATTTGTCCAATGACCAAATTGAAACAAAGGATAATTGAACACAAAAATCAAAAATTAAAATAGGGATTAAAATAAGAAATGTACGTAAATACAAAGGACTCAAACGAAATTAATCCAAAAGGTAAAACTGGAACACAAATCTAGAAAATAATGAAATCGAGACAAAAGAAAAAGGCCAAATTCGAAAACGGTCCCTACAGGTGAATGTTTTGCAAAAATACGTTAAAGATGGAGGGGATTAAAATCTGATTTTACCCTAAAGTTTCGATGGTTAAAAGTAAATTAACTCTAAAGCTGATGTATATATACAAACTTAATAACCTAAGTGAAACCTAAACCTAGAACTAAACTGGTCGCCTCTCTTTTTGTTGAGAGATCTCAAACTCTCGTTCTCTCTGTCGATGGTCCTCAAAGGACCAAGCTTCCACCGGCCACCAGTTGCGGTGGCCATTTCACCCCGATCACCGTTAGGAACTCTAGAGAAGCCCAAATGTAAACCTAAAACGTTAAAAAAAACAACCCATGCATCTTCCTTACTCCTTATTTCCCTCGACTGAGAGCCCTATAAGAACAAAACCTTTCTCTCCTATCCGATCGAACCCCCTAAAAGATAAACCCGCCATAAATCGACGTCCTTCACTTCTCCGACCACCACCAATGGTGGTCGGTTGAACAAAAACCTAGATCTAGACTAAACCCAAGCCTTCTCTTTCCAAACCTAACCCTAAAATAGGCCTAAAACCAACATACAAGACCTAAACGACCGAAGGATATACATTATCGGCTACCCCGACTTATGGCGACGCCTAACTCCGACGGCGAATCAACTTCTAACTCCGGCAAGAAATCAAACCCACCGCTAATGTAACATTTTTTTTCATTTTTTGTTTTTGTTTCGAACTTGTTTGGTTTCAAAAATAATATATAAAAAATAACTCACTATGGAAACTAGAAACCAACCTTTTGCTTCTGAAAATATATGTATCGCTCAATTTTCTTGTTAGTGAAAAAAAACTATTGCTTTTATTCACTGTGTATCGAAATAAAAGAACAAGGAAGAAGACTTTGTATTTCTTTGTAAAAAAATGAGGAGAATCCTCTATTATATGTGATTTTTCGAGAGAGAGAAAATGGAGGAGACCCCCCCTTTGAATGAAAAACCAAGCCCTTAAAAAACTCCTCTATTCTCGTTGATATATTTTCTCGTTTTCTTTTTTGATGAATGCTCTGATGTGTTCTTATTTGCTTTTTTTGGTTTTCCTTGCAGGTGGTGTTCTGGCCGAGGGTGCTCGGCGGTTTAGTTGCATATCGGGCAGGCTTGGCAGCAAAACACCTCAGGGTAGGGTTGGTAGCAACAGGGCTTTGAATGCCCCTGATTCTTAGGGATATTGCCCATTTTTCATTTTTCATTTTTTGTAATATATATATGTAATTCGAACGAATATTCGAATGAAACCCTAGACAAAATGAACATCTACAAATCCAATTATGTAATCGAATCGAGTAATACTCATGAAAGTGTCATACATGTTATGCAAAAAATCTTCATACAAAAAAGTATATTTAAAGCAACATTTTCATACACACTAAATCCTCTAATGAATTTAAAACACCAATATGCTATTAATATATACATATGTACATTATTGTGAAAACAATAGGGATAAAGCATATAATATATATACATTATAAAGTACACATGTATGATAGTAAATGGGTTTACACATCTATAAACATATAACACGCATGACATGAATGTGAACATATAATTTGAACTCATATTTTCATAATATTAGGCAACATGCACGTGCAAAATAAATGCCAAGAATGATCAAGGCAAATAAACAGTCAACATGCCTTTTAATATTTAGTTGTTTTAAATTTAATGCAAATATTATGGGAGATTAAACTGACAGTATAAAGCATAAATCCACAAAAACAATAAATAATATTAATGACTTATACACAAATCAACCAAAATTAACTTTAAATTAAATGAATGTTGAACTGAAAATATGCGGGAATGTAAATGGCAAATTAAAGGATTCACATAAAATAACAAAAATACTAAATAAATAAAAATATACATAAATGTAATGGAGCTAGTAAGTTAAATAAACGAAGAGGGAGTGGCTAAACCGAATAAAAAATAAAGCGAAGAGCAATATCAAAAATAAAATAAAACATCAGTGGCTCACATGAAAATTTGTCAAATAAAGATTAAAAGCTCGAATAGGACTAAAATAAAATTACCAAAAAAATAAACCAAAATTTAAAGGAAAAATAAATGAAAACATGACCAAGATGAAATGGAGACAAAATAAGAGGAACTGTAGAAATGATTTACCCTTAGCCATTTAAAAACACGGGCCCTTAATGGGCATTTTTACAATGCTATAAAGTTCATTTTTAAAAAAACAGAACTCATTTTGCCATTTCAATTTTTTTGGATCAAACTCGTTTAAAAATTCTCTAGACATGTTCTTGGTTTTCATCAAATATTCTTCATTTTCCTCGCCGGCCACCATGAGAGGTGGCGCCGACCGCCGCTTCCAGTCATAGAATGAAGAGAACTTATCATCTTTTCGATCGTTTTGAGCCCCCAACCACAAATCCACGGTCGGTTTCACGGGGATCCTCGGAAAAGGGGTAGATCTAAGGTTTCGTTCACGAAAACCCCTTATTTTCTTTTCATTGAATCAATTCCTCGATTTTTTTCTTTTTATTTCGTTTTAAAGACATAAATCCCAAAAAGAGAAACCCCAAACCATCATAGAAGCTTCAAACCTAAAGAGATCCATTGAAAAGCTTCCCCTTTCCTCGGGTTCAACAAAGGGAAAAGACTCAGAAGACCACCCTCCCCGACACAAATCTCAAGCAAAAAAAAGGTAAAGAATACCTTTGAAGAGTTCCAAAAAGTCTGATTGTATTCCTCATTTGCAAGATTTCCTCATTTGCAAGATTACGGGGATTTCTTTTCTTTCTCTCTTACAATATTTCTCTTAAAAAAACCTCCCCCTTTAAAATCCATGGTTTTTTATATATAACCAAGGGAAGTCAAATCTCTTTTAAGAGATCCGAAAAAAATCATCCAAAAAATATCTCTGTTGGTCCTTTTTGCTCTCTTTTTGTTACAGTGCTAAGCCTTATAGGGAAGAGGGGAAAAAAAGAACAGCGGAGTACGTGAGGCGAGGAGCAACGTGGGTAGCCTTGAGTGCGTCATACGTGCCGGCGTCAAAGTAGTTGAACGGTTGGGCAAGTCATGGGCACCGTGCATGCATACACGCTCAAAATCTGACCATCCGAAACATAGAGTGTTCTGAAGCAATTGGGGTCGTTGGATCGTCACCTAGATATAAAGGCAGAGATGAAGCGGTGGCTAGGGTTTCTCCCAAAGCTCAGCATGTGGGTTGTTCACTTGTTCTTCTCTTTGGGCCTACGCTGTTTGGATCATCTTTGTATTTGATTTACTTTGACTTATGAAGTGTGTATTTTTATTGGACCTAGAAACATACAATAAAAGTTAGATAATTATTTTAGCCCATATACATATTTAATATTAATAATTTATAACTTAATATATGTACAATATATATATATTTGCACCTCGCATAATATATGCGTAACACACCAATACATACATGTATCAGCCTATAATAAAACATATATAATATAATATATATCCCCATTCACGAAGCTCACACTTAAGCACTTAAGTGCGTATATATATATATATATATATTAATCCACTTGACCACGCACTTAATGTGCGCGTATATATATATATTTCCATAGATATTTTATACCATATTACTATTATATAATACTAATTAATTCCCTGAACCTCCTATGATCGAACTAAATTAAAGAAAAGTAAACAAGTAAAAGTAAAATAAGATAAAAAAACACGAGTAGATCTCTCAGACAAAAATGAGTATCTATAGTTGCCCGTCTTTGCTAATTGTTGTGTATTCAATGATAGAGCAAAGACAAATAGACACGAATTTTTGTTCGGTTGCGATCGATTTTTAAAAGGTAATTCGCTCCACTGCAACTTCAGGGTAGGTTGGATTTGATTTACTCAACTGCTCTTCAGGGTAATCAGATCTGGATGAAAAAGGATATGTTTTGCGGCCCTTCAGGGAGATCAAATCTGAAAGATGGAGACCTGCTCCGCTACTCATTAGGGGAGATCAGATTTAGAAATCTTGATTCACTTCATTGCTCTTCAGAGAATGTTGAATCGAACATGATTTGCTTCACTGCTCTTCAGGAAGATCAAATCTGAACAACGAGGATCAACTTCACTACTGTCTAAGGGAGATCAGATCTTGAGACTTTGATATGCTCCACCACTCTTTGGGGAAAATTGAATCGGGGTTAATTTAGTTTGCTACTTTTCAGGAAGGTCAAATATGAAAAATAAACATTACCACTTGCTAGTGTACACTTAGGGATTTGAAAATGTTACCCCCGAAGGTTTGGTACTCAAGAAAATCTTTTAAAATCAAATTTTCTTATAGAAACTCATCTCAAAGCCATCAGATATAGAAATCCTCCTTGACTCTGGTGTATTTTGAACTCCCCATTCCCTGAGGTTTTCAACTGGTTACTCTTATCTTAAGGTTCCAACATTTTCAACCTTCAGTTTTCTCTTGAAAGACCTATAAATACTCAATTGCATTTGTTATCATGCATTTTATGAATGTCGTGATCATGTTTATGCCTAAAATATGTGCAATAATGCAATTTTTTTTGTGTATTTTCAATTTTAAGGGAGAACCCTCTCTCGTTGATCACCTTGTGATTCAGTTCAATTTTGGGCACAAACAACACCACCGGTTCACACCAATTGACAATCTTGATCACATACACTCTTGATTGGACATAATCTTCATTTTTTCCCTCTTGAAACCAGATAGTATTCATGACCAGCTACTTGATCAATGAAAAATATTTTGGGTTATCCTCAATTTGTTGGCTCTTCATTTTTCCCCTCTTGAAACCAGGTAGTATTCATGACCAGCTGCTTGATCAATGAAAAATATTTTGGGTTATCCTCAATTTGTTGGCTCTCTAAGTACTCCAAGGTTTTAGTTTCCTTTAGCTCATCATCATGTAAGCAACATGCTAAAACCATTGTCAGCTTCAGAAAGCATACGCTTTTCCAAAACTTTTTGTACAATAATACATGATGATTTCATGTTTTTCAAGTTAAAATATATGTTTAATTTTAGTGTAAGATGCTTGCAAAGGAAAGCTAACAAGAAAAAGGCCTCTTTTATTTATATAATTGTAAGGAGCTTTTGGGTAAATACATGGCAAACTTTTAACTTACAAAATAAAAGAAATGAAGTAGGTGTCCCCATATATCAATAATAAGGATGCTTTTAAATTGGTACGCCGTTGAGTGACTCAAGTGTGGATTTTGTTAAAGGAATCTCGAGTATTTTGGCAATACATAAGGGCGTGAAGTTCCTTCTAGACTACCAAATATCCATATATTATATGCCATAAACTAGTATTGGATCTCATCTATATTCAATTTCTTTTATGGTTGTTTTAATCAAGACTTTTTCAATCTATAGCCCCAACCATGATCACCATTTGATGTTACTACTCAAATCAGGAGCCCTTTCAACTTCAAAATCAATTCAGAACCTCCACCATGCACGAATCCTAAATTTTAACAAAACTCAAGTTGCTCTTTACGGATTTTCATCTTGAACCCCTTTTTATTTATTTTTACTCTATTTTTTTCTTTTTTTAGGCAAAATATTTCTTGGCAGCATCGGAATTCACAAGGTTAGGTAACTCTGGTCTATCAATCTCAGTGAGGATCAAAGCTCTTCTAGAAAAGGCTTTATTCACGACATAAGGTTATTCCCAATTCGGCATCCACTTTCCTCGGAAATCTTTTTGAATGGGTATAACCCTTCCAAGTACCAAATCTCCCTCATGAAATTCTCGTGGGTGAACTTTCTTATCATGTGCTCGTATTATGCGCTTCTGGTACATCTGACCATGACAAATAACTTTCAATATGTTTTCTTCGATCAAATTCAATTGGTCATATCTGGCTTGGACCCATTCTATCTTATTTAATTTTACCTCTGACAAAACTCGAAGTGAGGGAATCTCTACCTCAATAGGTAACACAGTTTCTATCACATAGGCCAAATAAAATGGAATTGCCCCAATTGAAGTCCGTACTGAAGTTCAGTAAGCAAACAAAGAAAATGGTAATTTCTCATGCTAATCCTTATAAGTCTCATTCATCTTATCTAAGCCTCTTGATGTTTTTATTAGTTGCCTCTATTGACCCATTCATCTTTGGGCGATAAGTGGTGGAATTATGATGTTTTATCTTAAACTGCTTACATACTGATTCCATTATCTTATTGTTTAAGTTTAAGGCATTGTCAGAGATAATTCTTTCTGGTAAACTATATCAACAAATGATCTATTTCTTTAAGAACTTACAGACTGTTAACTGAGTGATATTTGCTTAGGAAGCCGCTTCTGCCTTTAGTGATTGTTTTGTGGATTTTGGCTTTTTATGCAACTCTTTAGAGTTTTTACTATTGTGCTTGTGGTTAATCATATTTCACTTGATTATAATGTTTATAATGCGACAGCAGGTTATGAAAAGACATGTCTATTTTACCCTTAAGAGTCATGACTGCTTGAGCTTGATTTGGATTTTGCCACTATTTTGATGAGCAAATTAGAACCTCCATTTTTTGTGTCTTTTTTTGCTTAAGGGATACATTGATGAACATTGCAAAACATTATGAAACAGGGGAGAGTCTCCCGAAGAGGTTTATTTGAAGCTCCTGGCTGCAAGGACTTTCCGTGCTGGTTCTCTAAGTCTTCGTCAGGTTAGTTGAACTTGTTCTGTCCTTATGTCACTTTTGGTTTGTACATATCTCTGCAGAAACAATATGTGTCCGGAGTATGAGCCTACTTCTTTATAGGCTTGGATGGTACACTGTGAGGGTTTCTTAGCTCAACATTCCCCTCGTTTGTCTTTATTTCTCACATTCTTACCTATCTCCCTCTCCGCCTCCATGTTGGACTGATTTTGCATGTGCTTCCTTTTAATATCAAGCAGTACAGTAACAGATCTAGCTTGTGGTTGGGTTTAGAAAGATAAAAAGGTTCCAATTTTTAGTGGTAGTGTAAAATCTTGAATGGGTATCCATTTCTTTAAGCAAATAAAAAAGGTATTTGTGTCTGTGAAATCCGTGTAATGTGTGATATAAGATGATTTTAATTGAAGCAATGATTATATTGTTCTCATAATTTGCTTTTAATATGTATTACTTCATGAAATGTCTCTTGGAAACTCTCCGAGTCTGATTTATTTTTTTCAGTCGAAGTATATTGTAATTTTTGGTGAAGTGGATTAGTGTTTGGTGTATTTGATTGCTTGACAGCTCAGTTCTAACCATTTTTTATTTCCAGCTTCGATTTGCTTGTGTGGATTTGGAACTACATACAAAATACACCCCAGATGGGTCAGAATCTGTCTTTGATGTTGATCAGAGAGTTTCCAGGAAAACACAAGTGATCCCTCCATTTCCAGAAGATAGGTTTCTGTGTGGTTTCAACCATATACTTTTAGGTTTGTCCTTCTTCTTCCAGCCTCTCTCTCCCCTTTTCTTATGTAATGTTTTTGCAATTTGGTGCAAACTTGACCTTGGGCATTTTTTTATTCGACTTTTTGTGAATATTAGGTGGATATGCTGCTGGATACTACAGTTACAAGGTATATTTCTAGCTTCGATTTGCTTGTGTGGATTTGGAACTACATACAAAATACACCCCAGATGGGTCAGAATCTGTCTTTGATGTTGATCAGAGAGTTTCCAGGAAAACACAAGTGATCCCTCCATTGTCAGAAGATAGGTTTCTGTGTGGTTTCAACCATATATTTGCAGGTTTGTCCTTCTTCTTCCAGCCTCTCTCTCCCCTTTTCTTATGTAATGTTTTTGCAATTTGGTGCAAACTTGACCTTGGGCATTTTTTTATTCGACTTTTTGTGAATATTTGGAGGATATGCTGCTGGATACTACAGTTACAAGGTATATTTTATCTTTTATGTATGCCCTTAGAAAACTATGATGAAAATATGTTTGAAATGTTGCATCAGTAATCCGAGTAAGACTATATAACATGACAACTTATGATCCTTCCCCCCCCCCACACACAATTTCTTTTCTGTAGCCAATTTTTGCATCCTAGCTTGTATCAAGTATTTCTCTGCTGAAGTCCTGTGGGCATGATTTGTATCCTTGTTTTTCCTTTTCTTTCCTTTTTCCCTTAGTGTGATCTGAAATCTGGAATGCTATTTTTTGCAGTGGGCGGAAGTATTGTCTGCAGATGCTTTCTCAGCATTTGAGGATGCTGGACTGGATGACATCAAGGTATGGTGGTTGAAAAGGCTGTTCAGGATTTGTTTGTTCTTGTTTATATATATATATATATTTCCGTACAATGTGTACATCAAATAGAGTAAAATCATCTCGTGGATTTCAACCCCTCCCCTTTCTGTGTAAATCTGACTAGTTTTTAAGTCAGTTCCAACAGTTGGAGAGCCATGGTATTCAACAAATTGTTCTCATCAGACTACAAATGAGCAATTGAATGCATATCCTCATATAGTTTGCTGATTCCTGATTGTGCAGCATAGAGTGCTTCTTCTTTGTGTTTTCCTTCAAAAGCTCTGCATTGGACTCAGAGCTTTCAAGAACAAAAGATGTCATCCTATCATTATGAATATTTATTTTTAACTAAAAATAAAAGCCGTGATCCATTATATTTAATTGTATTCCACAGGCTGTTAAAGAGACTGGCCACAAGTTTCGAGAGACCATATTTGCTCTTGGAGGTGGAAAAGCACCATTGGAGGTTAGTTTAATACGAATTGTACATTTCCGTTCATAATTGTGAAAAAAAATCATTTGATTTCCTGTTTCTGATCTCTCTCAGCAATTTTTTGAATATGAGAAAATCACACTTGTGGATCTTCCGTTGAATGTTGTTAACATGAAATGATGTTGGCTCCAGGTGTTTGTCAGGTTCCGTGGACGTGAACCGTCACCAGAGGCATTGCTGAGGCATAATGGATTGTTACCAGTAACAGCCTGAGCATCAGCAGTTGCCTTTCAAGGTTTACCAAAGAGGCATAAAAATCTACTTTACTAGATTAAATAAGTTTCTGTTATACACCAGTTATTGCCCTCAAAAGAAAAATAGAAATTCCCAAGTTATGTGGAAGGGGATAACTCTTAAGATGTTTTACGTTGAATTAGCTTTTGGATTTTTCTCTCTCTGCTTCCTTTATCTGCTTGCTTATGCTTCCGGATGTTATGGTACTTGGATTGTCCAACACATTGAAACATGAACATTTAAGCATATTTATGCGTTGATATACCCTCCTTGGAAAATGCAATATTTTTAGAACTGGATTGGACTGGCCAACTGGGAACCAGCCAATGCAACGGTTTGGATCGCCAAACGTTATACAGTTTCGCCGCTCCTACGAGTGCACCCAGAATGCGTTGGACCAGCTCTCTTCATGCTCGCTCTGTTCATGCAGGAAACTCACCATGCAGATTGCTTCAATTTTCTTCTTAATAGGTGTAGTTCTGACTGCTGGAGGTGTCAACCTTGGAATGATGATTTTTGGGAGGATTTTTCTGGCTTTGGTGTTGGGTTTGCCAATCAAGTAAGCTAAATAGTTTCAGTAATTGAATCTTCATCATCAGTACTGGTGCATCATTAATTAATTCTACGAATAAACTACCATATGAATGGCCTTTGCATACGTATATCTTTGTGGAATTTGATTTAGGGTAAAGTATACAAATGGTAACCGATAATAGGATATTGTTTTTTTGAGTTTATCGACTATTGAAAGTTATAAAATGGTTCTCTGGTTATAGGTGGTGTTTTGTTGAGTACTCGGACTATTAAAAGTTACAAAATAATCATATGATTATTTATATGTTTTAAACTTATCTTTTTTTTAGAAAATTGATGACAGTCTGAACTTGATATTATTTTATTGACTTAGATATGATAGTCATTTAAGAATTTATGATTAGATTTTATTATATTACAGTAGCAAGTTAACGTCTGATTCGGACTGTTGGCAAATTTTTAACAAAAAATATGATGAGTTTGGTACATATGAAAAATCTTATGATCATTTTGTAACTTTTAATAGTTACATGACTAAACAAAATAACCTCCTATAGTTTAAGAATTATTTTATAATTTTTAGTAGTCTAGATTTAAAAAATCAACACACTATAATCAGAGATTATTTGTGTACTTAACCCTAATAATATTAATTATTATAAATTACTATTGTAATTATGATCTACTTCACATCAGATCTCCACCCTAATGGCTGGACAATTTCTCTTGGCATTGCCGGTCACCCCACTTTGATGCTTTACCTGGGATCTGTAATCATTGTTGTGACTCCAACCAACCTTTGAATATAACAAACTTGGGGAAGTGTTGGAAATAGACTGTTTGTAAAACGTGGCATTGCAACAAGACATTAATATTGACTGGAAAATGTTAAATAAAATGATCAAACGGAACAATAATTGTGTTGTACTGATCTATTATCTTAGAAGCGAATCGTCCAAATGTGTATAATTATTATAATGAGTGAATGACTTCTTGAAGGTGGTATATATCTCTAAATTTCGTATACTCGAAAAATGGAGTAAACTTTGAAGTTACTAATCTTTTCTCAAAAACTCAGAATTTAAACTTATAAGAATACTAAAAGAAACTAACATTAAAAGGGTTTTTATTCTGGACACTAAAAGAAAGATTATAAGGAAAACTCGAGACATTGAAGATATTAAAAGGTAGATTAAATATTAAAAGTCATTTTTAAAAGAGTTTTTAAGAAAATACTATTTAAAAGATAAATCGGTCTGCGTATAACCAAAAATTCATTCTTTTTAATAATAAAGTGAGATTCGTGGTCGATTACATTTAGAGAAGGATTAGCACCCCACAAAGCCCAAAATTAATACCCGTCGATTATATATTGTCTTTAGTAGTGGAAGTTTAAAAATTCAAATATAAATTTAATTTACGATCTTTTTATTTCATATTTAATCGGATAATTCTAAAAATATATTAAAATAATTTTTATAAAACTAAAGTATATATATATATATATATATATATATATATATATATATACCTAAGGTTTTATAAATAGGGTATTTATTATTTAAAAATATAAGAAAATAACATCTAATTACTTTAAGACAACCTTTTTCTTTAATATAAAAAAATAAATATTAATGATAATTTTTCCTAAAAAATAATTTAAATAAAATATTTTATTTATTTAAAAATATCAAAAAATGACATCTAGTTACTTTAACACAACTATTTTTTTAATTTTAAAATAAATAAATACTATTATTTAATTAAATATATTCATATGAAATAAAATAATAATAAATACCATTATTTAATTATTACAACATAAAGGGTAATAAAATAAATTAAACAAGAAAATTAAAATTATAGAATTAAATTAAAAAATAATAAAACTTATGGCCACAAAAAAAATCACAAAATCTAGGAACAATAAATATCCTCTAATTATATATTTAAAATATATAACTGAAGTGACACTACTTTTAAAAAAGAATAGTGTTTTATTTAATAATTTTTAAAATGTTACTTTTTTTAAGACAAATTTTATTAAAATATTAAAAAGTATTAAATAAAACACTATGTGCGTTTGCTTTTTCTGATGCACTGTGCAACAACTATTCATTTTGAATTATTTAAATTAAAGGCTGCCATTTGCCAAACACATCCCACCAAAAATTTGAATAACTCATATCTTCTATGTACTCTTTACTTTTACTTTTTAAACTTTTAAACTTCATTTAAAATTTAAATTAATTTATCTAAATATTAACATTGTAATTTATCCTTAAATAATATTCGAACTAAATTATAAATTATTAAAATCTAAGGGATTAAATTTAATATTTTCCCTAAATATATATAAATACTAGTAGTGGCTAAAATATAAATAAATAAAATTTAAATACTAAATTAAAAATAACATAAATTGATTTTAATGACCAAAATATAAATTTACAAAATTAGAGATATTGCAGACATAATTCGCCCGTTACGAATTTACACAAACACCCCTTATAAATACGCTTTAACCGGCCCTAAATGGGCATTTCTTCTCATTTTCCTCTTTCAGCTTCTCTCTAAGTTTCCCTCGTCGGAGGGAAACCGTCCACCGGTGACCACAGCTCTCCGGCGTCGATCGTCGCCGTCGGCCACCGTTACCGGTGGCCGAAAATTCCTAAATTTCCTTAAAATAAAGATCTTAGCACCTAAAGGCTAAAACCGACCTTTTTCCCCCTTAAATCCTCTTAAATATATGTAGATCTAAGGTTATTTACCTTCAATGTTTCATTTTTCTAGCGCTGCAAGGAGGCTCTGATGACTGCAGTTTCCTTGGTAAGTTTCTCTCCTCCTTCGATTTATTGTTTGGCTGATGTGGGTTGGATTTTTCTTGTTTTCTTTGTATTTTGGTTTGGTGTTTCTTGCTTGCTCTTTGTCTACTTCTTCTTGCAGGATCGGTGGCCTTTTATAGACCACCACGATGTTGTTGTTCTCCTCGGGCAGATTATAAGGGTGCCCTTCGGTGAGTCACCGAAGGGATGCGACATGTGCGGTGGTCCTACCATCTTCTGGAAGTTTTGGTTGAGGATGGCATCGTGTCAACAGTTGGATGGGGAACACAACGGCGGAGCAATTCGGAGTGGTTAAAGATGGAGTCATGGCAGCAGCTTACTAGGGAACATAACGGCGGAGCAGTTCGAAGTGGTTGAAGGCAGTGTCGGGATAGACCCTAGGGTTCACCATCCCTAGGGTTTCTGCTGGATCTTCTTTGGACCGTTGGATCTCTTCAGATCCAATGACTGAGATTTCTGGCGGTTGGAGATAGGGTTTAGAAATCCTAACTGGATTCGGGCCTTGCTGGGTCGGATCAGGTCTGGATCGGGTCTAGACCTAGACGGGGTTGTTGCTTCTTGAATTTGGGCCTGGACTTGGATCGGGTTTGTGTAAAATAGTCTGTAATAATTATTTGTAATTATTATAAAAATAAAAATAATAATAATAATAATAATAATATTGAAAAAAACGTAGTGTTCATAGTAGGTTTCGAGTTTGAGTCCTTATGAATACAAAAAATCCCTGTTGGAAGACTCATCAACTAAAATCAGGTATGCGGCGTAGAGCGTTTTGGATTAATCAAGACGAAACTTTGAAACCGAGAAAATAACAAAAAAAAAACGGTTAAAGCTTGACAAGTATGGTCAAAGTTTGCCTTGTCAACTTCCTTAACTACCATATTAGATTGTTGTGACCCAACTAATGGAGGTTAACGGTTGAGTGACAATTTTATTATTTTTCGATAATATTAGTAACTATTTTATAACGTTTCAAACTTTAGTAGTGAAAGAAGCAAAATACTTAAACTTTAATGGTCATTTTTCTAGTTTTCCCTAAAATATATTTTAGGAACCAAAGCAAGCAATTTCGTGCAAACACTTTCCCATGTTTTCCTCTTTTAAACCCTAGCGCTTGAAATTTCGGTACTGAGATCCAAGCTCTCCCGCAAATTGAAACTCTTTTATCTTTACTTGATATTTGAAAGTATTAATAATCCAATTTTAGCCTTTTCATTTCTGTTATTTTTATACAATTGCTTTGGAGTAAATCTGGTTTTTGGTATGTGGGAAAGATGATTGAAAGAAAGGAGAAGAGAAAAGAAACGGATGTTGAAAGAAAAGTAATCTGGAATTAATACCCATAAACTATTCGATAAAATACCTCTAACACATGACTGATTACTATAACACCTGAATAATCAACAGATTGTAGGCATCCCCCTGAACCAATTCTAAACCTTTGTAATAGATTATTAACCAACTCATTATGCTTCCTTTTGTATAACATGGTATTTTGGGGTATTGGACTTGGCTATTTAAATTGATTAGATTGGGAAACTTGGTTGCTAGCTTAACTTCTTCTTTTTTCATTTTTCTTTTGCAGGTCTTTGATCTAAACTAACTTTGCATGTGTTCTGTAAGCAAGTTTTTTACATTTTCATTCAGCAGACCTAGCTAATATTGG